AAAGGCTAGTACTTCAAAAAGCGCCTGGCACCTGGTGGATAAAAAGCCTGTCGAATAAATGTATGAGTGAATGAGAGATGACAGTGATGGTGGGAATGCTGGTAAACGTAAAAGGAAGAACAGCATATGCTGCAATCCAGGTCTTTGCACCCGAAGCTGTTTCATCCTTTTATTTAAAATAAGCCACCTGGGCCAAGGATTTAGCTCAATGATTCTGGCGCCTGCCTCACAAGCACAAGGGCCCAAGTTCGATCCCTGGTGCCTCAATAAAAAAATAAATAAATAAAATAAGCCACCCACATATGATCACTATTCATCAAGCCAAACCATCACCACATTTATGCTGAGAGCTGCCCAGCTGTCCTCCTAGCGTGTCCCATGTTCTAGGCTTCCTGGTCTCAAGAGGATAATACCTGAAGAGCCCACAGGTGCTAACTTCAGCACCAAGACCCATGCAATGCTGCTGGCCACAGGCTCCATCTCCTGTTCCATGGGGGCCACAGGGACAGAGGGAACCACACTGCAGAAGTCCCAGCAATTGTTGCTGTAAGTCTCAGTCTCATGGGTCAAACTGTTGCTTTTACAAACTTTTTCCTGATCTGGAGCCTGTCCAGAGCGGTTCCTCATTGTCAGAAAACAGCCTCCCCTTCAAAGGCTGCTGAAGAAGGAAGCACAGCCCAGGTGACTCAGTTTTAAAACTTAGTATTTAATATAAGTCGATTCTAGCCAATCCAGCCAAATCTTCAAACAAGCAAGCAGAAAGCACTGATGAACACAGTGTGTTAGTAACTTGGGTCCTCCCTCCTCACCTCACATCACCATTATGAAGGCGTGCCTCTGAGCAGTTTCTCCCTATGGAAATGCTCTCCCAAAACGACATCACCACTTCTGTGGACCCTGTACGATGCCATCACTAAAATGTTTGTAATCATACAATGGCTATGGAGTAAATGAGAACAAAATACAAAGCAAAATTAACTGCAAGGCCATGATGTTTGCAAAGTCACTGTGAAGAAAATTAAAGGTGACAGTATTAGCATGGTACATTGCTTTAAAGATTCAGTAAATCTAACTTCCATAATGTAAACTTTTTCTAAGTGTTTCAATGGCAGCAAGTTTTCAAAACTATTTTAAAGGCATCAATTATCATCAAAATGAGAGCTTTTACAGCACAAATATTTATAAAATGCAAGTGTTGGCTTACATTACACAACAAGCAAGCCCCAGTAATTTAACCAAGTGATTATTTTTGCAAGAGGGAGCACATACTAATTGTTAGAGAAATTAAGATTTGGAATTAACTCTTCATAAAAGTTTTCCTTTACAGTGATTTTTTTTTCTGTAGGTCATTACATGCTAATTAAATATATGATACTTTGACAATTCACAATGAATAATGATAAATTCTGAAATAGAATAAGCGGTGATACATACATACATATATATATATATATATATATATATATATATATGTACACACACACACATATATGTGGAAATGATAAAATATGTATTAAAATTCATGCTACCAAGAAGAAATCTACAAAAAGTTTTCCAATAAAGTAAAAACAAATTTTTGTTAGAAAAAATCATGCTGCTAAATCTTAGCTTATAAATATCAGCCACCAGATACATCTAATTACAGCCTCTTGGATGGTCACACTGGAATATTTCAAAAGTACAAGTCAGGCCAGGGATGTAGCTCAGTGGTGCCACGGCTGCCTAGCAAGCTCAAGACCCTGAGTTCGATCCCCTCCCCAAAAAGTACAAGTAATCTGCCCAGATTTGCATTTCTTACACAGCCTCTCAGTAAACTCACAATATCTTCTTTCTATGGATAGAAGTGGAACTCATTAAGCTGAAAGGCTCCTAACAAATTTAATTCAGAGAATAATCGAATCTAAGGTTCTGAAGAGACCAGACAGGTCACTGAAGGTGCCTAACCTGCCTTCTAATTTAAGAATCTCCCACAGCATCCAGACAGATGGTCCACTCTCTCTTACTTAAATGCAATGACCAAAGGGCAATTCAAGTTGTGTTAGAAAGCACACTCCACAGGGAAATAAGTAGCCAGTCTGTAATCGAGAATGTCTGCCAGCAACATCAATCCATCATTTAAAAATGTCCACTAATCAATTCGAGTCTTTCTTCCATTATCAGCACACATGCCACTCCTCTCTTCCACACACTCACCCTCTACGCCACTGAACACAATGGCCCTGGCTCTCCCTGGCTCACTCTCCAACCCTGCTCCTGGTCTATCTTCACTCCTCCTGGTCTATCTTCACTTAGAAGCCACAGTCACTCTTCAAAGGCAAAGCAAACAAAGCCGGATTGTGTATGCTCTTCCCTAGAAATTACAACATAACAGAGGAGTCCTAAAACGTCAATATGTGCCTCAGAAGGCACAGAGCCCACTCTCTCAGACATAGGTCTATGTGTCTGGGCCGTGGAGTCCAGGAGGGTTGGGGTCCACTGGAAAAAACAGAATGGAAATCAGTTCCAAGGTCCACACGTGTGCAAGAGGCCCAACAACTGATGTTAGGGAAGGAATGGGAGCTGTGCTGCCAGGCAACTGTTCTCCACACCCACAGAGGACTGAGGGAGGAAATGAGTTGTATCTGAGACATGGGGAAAATTTAAGCATCCAGATTAGTGGTCACACTCACATACCTCCAGGCTATTCAAAATGTCTGAGTAAAACAACCTGAGTACTGTATTAAGACACAAAAACTACTTGTTTGCAAATTAAGTCTTGTATGTGTATTCTTCTGCAAACACACACATACACACACACACACACACACACACACACACACACACAGAAAATGCTCTCTGTTTTTCTTGAAAACAAAACCCTGGAACTATCATTAATTTTCCCTCTACTATTAAAGACCCCGACAAAACAATTTTTCAATTTTCTTCTACTATTACTAATAGAAAACAAATTAAACAGAAAATGGCATCTGATGCTTCTACTGGCAAGAATACATGGAGTGGAGGAAACTTCCCCTCTGAGTTTTGTGCCATCACTACCGTCCAACTGAGGAAATTGAGAACAAATCAAGTTCAATAATTTGCTTACGGTCACATAAAAAGTACATTTGAAAAACTCAAAACAAGTCTGCCTGGTACTAAAGAGAAAACAGCATTGCTATATACATAGAAAATAGCTGTTTGTTATTGGTTTTATTGTTATTAGCTGATTAAAAATATAATTTCCTATAAGCAAGTCTATTCTTTTAAGTGATTAAGAATGGACTTTTGGGCCAGGGATATAGCTCAGTGGCACAGTACCTGCCTGCAAAGCACAAGGTCCTGAGTTCTATGCCCAGTACCAAAAAAATAAAAGAATGGACTGTTGTTTTCAATGCAAACTAAATAAATGTGATACAAAAAAATTCTCCAGCTTGTGTCAATTATGAACAGTACCCAACTGTGTTATTTTAAACCATGTTAGTAGATGAAATATATAAAAAACTGAATATATACTAAATAAGATAGCAGAGTTATATAATATACATTATATGGACATACTTAATATGCTAACATATATTAACATAATTAATCAGTCTGAGAAAAATACTTTTATTATCCCCATTCCACAGAAAAAAATAAGGCACCAAGGAGTTAAATATTATGTACAAGGTCGCTAAGCCAGGAGATGTCAGAGACAAAAATTCAAAGAACTCAGGCAGTCTGACTGAAAATAAATCTAGATATTAGGTTCTTCCTTACAACACCTCTCCAAAGCTAAGTGGATATTCCTTTTGAATATCTAAATGTAGATGATTTTTTTTAAAAGTCAATAAAAGGTCAGTAATAATCAAAATTTCTACCTCTAATATATATATTTGCAAATATGCCTAGAGACATTAGACAATGTCCTGTTCATATATGAAATATATGTTAGACTTGTTAATTCTGTGAGATAATAATTCACATTTTTAAAAACTATTAAATAGACAACTGAATCCTTACCAAGCAGTTTACATAAAGAGCTGCATTTAACTATTAAACACATACATTCAAATCAAAAAGGATCTGCTGCGCACTTACCACCATTCTGGGCTCTGGAAATAGCCAGTGAACCAGATGGACAAGTTCCCTACCCTGTGGAGCTTGTGCGCCCATGGGAAGTAGAGATGGATACAGAACTATGCAAAGGAAAAGACTACGAGGGAAGGCAAGCACTTTGCAGAGAGCTGAGACAGGATGATGCAGCAGCTGTCAGCCTTTGGATGGCAGAGGCAGGATGGTGAGCGGCAGTCCCTCGAACTGACACCCAAAAGGCACAACACAGCCAAACAGAGATGGGGCAAACTGCTGCCTGAAAGTTTCTCCTTCCTAAGTGCTTCAGCAACACAAGAATGAGCCCCAGAACCTGTAAACTTTCACAGCTGGTAACCCACTGGGAGCCATTCCAAACACCGCCTGGGAACTGTGAGCCTTTCCCACATTTGTGTTTACCGGCAACCCCAATCCATCTAATGGGAAAAGACCTCCATTGCAGTGAGAGAACATTAAGGTCAGTCTTACCTGATCTTAATAGTTCCTTAATGTCCTTTTCTGATAAACTTACCTGATCTTACAACTCCATCTAGAAAGTACACACTCCAGATGTGCTCATGCATGAGGTCCTATTTGGTCTGGAGTTTAAGTCTGTATTCAATCACTATCTGACATTCCAGGGATGGAAATCAGAACTCCCTGCACTGCATCTTCTCCATCTGAGGTCCCAGACGCTTGGCCTGACAGCTACCCACATTGAAGGATCATACAGAAGAGTATAGTGCATTTGTAATAAACTGCTCAGAATTGGAGACCGGTGAACTGCAGGATCCTCAATTACAGCACTGAGAAATCTACTTAGGCTTTCCCCACCCAGATCCTTGAACAAAAAGCAGTTAACAGCTACATGGGAATGTGTGGATTTAGCAGAGATACACACTGAAACTAACTTCTACAATCTTTAAGATATCAGAGTGACTCAAACTCACCCGAACAGGAAGTGTGGATGTAAGACACTCAATGTGATCTTTCAGTCATGCATTCAGAGTGAGCTGGCTGAAGGGTATCTTTGTCACTCAGCCACACAGCCCTGGCAAAAGAAAACAAAAACACAAGAGGTAGTAAGAAACAATTTATCAAACTGGAAATTTAAAATTAAAGTTCAATTTCTCAGCATTTTGCTATCTCTTAGAATTGATACAAAACAGGAGAATCAGGGGCCAGGGATTTAGCTCAGCGGTTAGGTGGCCTGCCTTGCAAGTGCAAGGACCTGAGTTCGATCCCCGGTACCAAAAAAAAGGAGAATCAATAAATCAATCAGCTCTAGTGATATAGACCTGTGATCCTAGCATTCTGGGAGACTGAGGCAGGAGGACTGTAAGTTCATTGTCAGTGTGGGCAATTTAGTGACTTAGTAAGATCCTGTCTCAAAATAAATAATTAGGGATATAGCTCAATGTGAAGGCCCTGGGTTCAATGGGTGGGGTCATGGATTAAACAATAAACTATGAAGAAAATAGAGGATCTTCTTCTAACACCCTCACTTGTGAAGCAGACTTACTGCTTCATTCTGTAACTTCACATGGCTAAGCCACTTTATAGACACAGAGAAAGGAGAGAGGACGGAGGGAAGGGCAGAGCAAGAGTGAGGGGACGAATACTAGAGACAGGTGATAGACAACGGATGTTCAGGCAGGCAGGGTGGGCCGAGTGTGACCAAGCCACTAACCCAGGAGCCAGCGACAAATGTGAATGCTTAAGAAAGTCTCTGCTCTCACTGGGAATCGGGAAAAGTAGTCAAAAACAAATAGAGGGAGAAAATATGAAAAAAAAAAATATATCCCAGAGACACACAAAGCAGAGAGGTGAGTAAGGAGATGATAAAGAGTGACAAAGAGCTAATTTAAATTGGAAGTGGCTCTTTGAGATGGCCACTGGGTCTGAGTTAGGAAATGGTCCTGTGGACAGGAGGACAGGCCGAGGGCCTGGTAAACGGAGCACATCTTGAGCCCGCATCGTGGGTTGGGAAGCAGAATCCAAATGCAAGTGAGTAGGGTCAAAGGGTAGGGAAAACAGGCAATTCAATTACTATCAAACAGGTAATTTCTAGGTCTTTTCCTATTATAGACAGTAATACCCTCTTTATGTGTTTGATATGCTCCCCAGGGACGTAGTAAAATGCCTAAGCCCATCAATGAACATACCAGAAAGTACTTCCTTTTTTATTATTCAAAATGTGAAGCACTGCCTTCAGAGAGACTTCCCTCCCCCCACTCCCACAGGGGGCTGCACCCAGGGCCTCATGCATGCCAGCACGAGCACTAAGCTATACCCAGCCCATTTATTCATTTATTTTTTTAAATGTATCTATTTATTGGTAGCAGGGATTGAACTCTGGACCTTGTGCTTGCGAAGCAGGCAGCAGCACCACTGAGCTAAATCCCGGCCCCCTTTTATTTTATGTTTGAGACAGGGTCTTGGCTAAATTAACCAGGCTGGCCTCAAACTTGAGATCTTCCTGCCTTAGTCATGTGGCTGGGATTACTGTCATGCACCACCATGCCTGACTGAGACTTCTTTTTGTAAGCCATGGTATCACCTCTTAGATGTACACAAAATACAGGTGACACACCCCTCATCCAAAATGCTCGGGATCAGGATTGTTTCAGATTTTTGAGGTTTTTAGATAATGGAATATTTGTATAGACTTTTTCCAATTACTATGTATAGCTGCAAGATCTAAATCTCTAAACTTCTTGAATGTCAACATGACATTCAAAATTTCAGATTTCAGAGCATTTCAGATTTCCAACTAGGGTGCCTGCTCTTTCCACATTATTGTAGCAATGATGTGCTGTGGAAAGAACACAGACTTTGGGACCAACAGAGAGAGATTAGTGTTTGAACCCCTAGCTTCCACATGACCACCTGAGCGAGCTCAATCTGTTTAGATTGTCTGAATCTCTGGCTTCTTCAACTATAAAGTGGAAATGGTATTATCCATCTTTGAGCATTATTCTAAGTACTCAGTGAGACAATGCATGAAAAGTACCTAAAGTGACTAAAACATGGGAAGTATTCAGAGCAGCAATAAACCACTGCAAGACTTTCACTGTAAACAATTGAAACCGGGAAGCGTTTATCACAATGATTCTTGTTACAGAACTACATCTATATAACTAGGCTTATGAAGACAACAATTTTCACTTATAGGGTCATTTAAAACCAATCCAATTCCCTCACTCCAGGGAATGTACAGTTGCAAGAGATAGCCTGATTGGCCCAAAATGACAAAATTAGTTCAGAGAAACATTATGAAACTCTGATCTATTTAGTCAAGAATGTCCGCTTTATGGAATAAATCTCATATTGACATGAAATTTAATTCATTTTGTCATTATCCTAGTATGGGTACAAATATTTTAAACAGGAACAACAACAACAAAAAAAACTGAACCAAGCTTGCTGAACACTGACCATTTTTTAAAACTAAGAACTGTCCTTTTACTGATGGTCTTAGTTGGATATTTACTAACCAAAATACTATAATATAGACGATCTGCCAAATTATCTGATGATAATCTTATGCCTCAAGCATGTTACCATGTGACAGCTACACATTCATTCCAGATGCCTTTCTGTTTCATGAAGGTTGTGCTTTCCTATTTTCCATGCTTTCGCACACACTATTCTCTTCTGGGAAGGCTTCCCTGGAGAACTCCTCCTTACGCTTCACGACTTGACTTAAGGGCCACCTCTTCTAGCAGTCTTCCCTGGTTACCTTTATTTCCCCAAACGCATCCCTCCCTCCCTCCTCCTCCTCTCCACAATAGCTAATCGCCTTTCAATTATTTACTTTTCATGTTTTTCTCTTTTGCTGTGATTTCTAAACGCTTTTAAAAGCAAAAGATTCGTTTTGATCTTTTTTCCCAGTGTTTAGCACCAGTGTAGGGGAAGTGGGAAGGGTAGGGGAAAGGAAATAAAGGAAAAGAAGAAAAACATGAGAAAATGGAAATAAAGTATTTGTAAATAGGGGTGGGAGGGGGGGTGAAGTGTGGGCAGGGGAATGGGGAAAAAATGAGAACCAAGACCTGTCACATAAAGGTACAAGATCCCAATGATGAATGTAACTGTACTATATACCTAAAATATACCAATAAACTCAATGAGGGGGGAAAAAAAAGAAGAAGCAGGGTCTGTCAGAGAGGTGGACACTGGGGGCGGGGTCTGGCTTGCTCTCCCTCTTCTCCTCTCTTCTCTCTCTGCTTCCTACTCCCCATGCTGTGAGCAATTCCCCTCTGCCAAGTCACCTACTTTGGCGTCAGCTGACTATGAACTGAAACCTCTACAAACTTTGAGCCAAAATAAACCTCTCCTCCTTTAAGTTGTGGGCATCAGGTACAGTATCTCAGTGACAAAAAAGTGACTGAGACAACTATTTGTTCATTTTGGATTGGAACTATTTTAGGCTGGATTACACAATGTTTAAACTGAAAATACATTGACTTCAACTCTGCACATTTTGCAACTGAAAAAGTGTGACTCTCCCTCAAAATGAGATTTGCCACAAGAATGAAAAGAACTAAAAGTAAAGTTCACATCTCCAGTGATGTTACCAGTGACAAATCAGTGGTAGCCAGAGAACTCTTCTGTGAATCCAGTGTCCCCTTCACAGCCCTTTCCACATTCCTTATGAACTCCAGCATCACATGTACAACTAACTTTCATCTTGTTGGACCACCACCCAGTCTTCAGCAATTGGATATTCTCTCAACAGTGTGGATGGGGATTAGCTGCCAATTAAGGCCATGTCTTAAGGAAAATTAGCAATGAGACCAATATGACAACATCTCATGACCACAGATTTTAATAGAATTTAACATTAAATCTGTAAGATTCAAGGCAATACTAGGTAAACTATATTGGCAATGAAACTCCAACAATTCTGTTTTTAGTCATACAGAGAACACACTTGTATGTATTATAGCACATAGGTACTGTGTTTGCACGAAGTAGTCAATGCACATTCGTCTCACCCTTTCCAGTATGATAACAAGCCATCCTGGAGACCCAGAGCAGCTTGCTTGTAGCCATGAAGTCATATTAGTAACATGAATAAATCTTTTCTCTTCCCTTGCGTTTTCTTTTTAACATGAAAAGTAGATTTTTTTAGTGCTCAAGATTCTGTCTTCAAGTCTGCACTCAAAGCTGAATACAATCTGTACTTATTGCGACATCAAAGTATTAAAATTAAATTTTAAAAGAGGGGAGCCCATCTCTAAAGACATGTTATCACATCTATCAATCTAGAAGCCTACTGTCATATCCTGGACTGAGCTCAGAGTTCATAAAACTTGAACTGCTGGGTGATTTAGCAGGGGAGCCTGAAACACTAAACAGTGGTCAACAATGGTCAATAGCAAAGTGCTGGAAAAGAGAAACTTGTGCCTTTAAAATGTGCTCTCCACTTCCATCCAACCCCCAACCATGTAAAGAGAATGCAATGCTGAGAGGTTTCCCTCCCAAATTCATACCTTCAAGTTATAGCCTCTCCATGATTACTACTCTGAACAAAAAAATACATTAAAGTTGCTGGGTTTACTTTAGCCTTTTATCAGCAAGGCAGCTTATCAATTCAACAGAGTCACTTGATGTTTGGAGTCAAACAACACAGTATATGGGATATTCTCCAGGCCTGGTAGGGAGAAACACGACTCTGGTCTCCATTAACCCCTCAATGACCCTGGTTTGTTCAGTATGACTGAGTCCCTCCAAGAGCTCCATTCATAGGTGGACGGCGACTTCATTTCTCAGTCCCCCTGGACCCTTAAGAGATTTCAGGGACATAATGAACAAGCCACTCCGTGACTCATTCCCAGGCATTAGGTAAGACTACATCAAGATGCAGCACATGCCTGCAATGACAGTCCTCACCAGTCTCGCCCACCAACACTGGCGCACTGTCTCCACACAAAGCGTCCGTGGAATCAGATGCTGCCCCCCAACAAAGCAAAACTATAGAGTCGCCCAGCAGTCTACAGAGTCAGAGAAGCTGCCATTCATGACAGAGATGACTAATTACAATGAAAA